GTGTACGAAGTTTTATCTAATCTAAAAGCAGAAGTTAAATTAAATATAGTTTTTTCTAAAAATATATGTTTGCCTTTTTGGTGAAAAAAGTTGTATTTCCAATATGTAAAAGAAAAATTTCCGTCCAATTAATCAAAGTGTGACATATAATTGCCAACAATTTTAAAAGATGAGTTGGTATTACCGCAGGGTGCAAGGATTTTGGTACAATGCCTCTTTTTACCTAGTCATGTGGTTCCCAAGCAAAAAAAGGTTGTTCTTTGGAGCCTATATATGTGTCATCCTCTTGTAGTGCCTTCATATGTGTAGCTGTGCCTCTCCTCTACTCATATCCCTTTAACAAAAGAGAGTGAGAGCGAGCGAGCTAGCTAGCTAGAGAACCAAAGAAATGGCCTTGATTTCCACTGAAAACACTTGGCTTTTCATTTTTGGTATCCTAGGCAACATTTCTTCGTTCGTGGTTTTTATGGCCCCAATGTAAGTAATTAGTGTTAATTTGTTTGGAGCAATATTTTGATAATATAGCAAGATTTATGTGTGCTAATTACCAATTTGCCATATTAATTTTTAGACCAACCTTTTATCGGATTTGGAAGAAGAAATCAACAGAGGGATTTCAATCACTTCCATATTTGGCTGGACTCTTCAGTGCCATGCTTTGGATCTACTATGCATCCCTCAAATCCGATGCTTTCCTTCTCATCACTATCAACTCCTTTGGTTGCTTGGTCGAAACCATTTACATTGCCTTCTACATCATGTATGCACCAAAGAAAGCTAGGGTAAGTAGGCTTACATGCTTTTTTTGCTCAGTCTAATTTGCAAAAACTAATCCATGATACCAAATGATTGCATTAAACTTTTGGCTATATACATATATATTATGAAATTAATTAATTTCTCAAAATGCAGATATCTACCTTGAGGTTGCTTCTTTTATTAAATTTTGTGGGATATTCCATGATTCTTCTTCTCTCCCACTTCTTAGCAAAAGGATTGACTCGTGTTCAAGTTCTAGGATGGATTTGTGTGGCATTCTCCCTCAGCGTCTTTGTGGCACCTTTAAGTGTTATGGTGAGGATGAGGACACATTTTTCATTAGCCTATACATTAATAGTTAACCATACTTTTGGCATTCCCACTTACTAAACATATAAATAACAGAATTAAAGTAGTGTTAACAAGTACCATCTATCTGTACAGATTTTTAACTACCAAAGAAATATACATGATGTGGACTAATTAATCGTTAATTAATGTGCAGAGACTGGTTATTCGTACCAAAAGTGTGGAGTTCATGCCTTTTCATTTATCTCTCTTCCTCACTGTAAGCGCAATCACGTGGCTCTTTTATGGCATATTCCTCAAGGACTTGTATGTTGCAGTAAGTGGTTTGAATTATCTCTTACTAAATTTGGGAAATAAAACATAAATGCTATATATTAATTAATCAATAATCATATAAAATTAATTAGATGAAGATTTTTTTTATTGCAGATCCCGAATATTCTGGGATTCATATTTGGGTTCCTTCAGTTGGTGCTGTATGCAGTATACAGGAATAAGTCCAAGATGGTGGTGGTAGAAGGGGCGCAGTTGCCCCAACACAGCATTGATATGACTAAACTCAGCACTATCACATTGGCTTCAGAGGCAAAACCCAACAGCACTGACTGCAAGGGACAGAACATGGATCAAAGTGGGAAAATCAAGGAGTTTTTTGACTCCAACCCAATAATTGCTTGTGAAGTTTAAAAAACAAGATTTCAAGTTTTCCAGTAAATGGAGTAGTAGAGTTGATGGATCAACAATTGCACCTAGCTACTGGATCATGCACCCCTTTACAAGATTAGTGTAGAGTGCTCTACATGCATCTCTGTCCCCTGCTGTAATAAATGTTGTGTATTAATTTCAGCTTCCTGTTTCTTTTTCTCTGTTTTGTTAATTCTGTGGCTGTAGTAGTGTTTCTAAGTATGTTGGCCTAGTCAGAAGTTGGCTAGGCGGAATAACAGTTCTGGAATATAGTTTCATTAATTTCATGCCTCAAATGGCTTTCAGCCTATGTTAATTTGTTATAATTAAACTGATTTTAGTTCATATATATTTCATTAATTATATCTAACTCATAGTATTATATACAATATAGACCAACTCATTTTAAATATCATGCCAAGTTGTGAATAGAATTGTGTTAGGTAAGGTCGTCATGTGTATAGTATTCCTATTTTCCTTTTCCTTGGATGAGATTAACTGGTGCAAGATATTGATGTGATGTGATGTGATATAATGCTTCATGCAATATATAAATTAATTAAGTTTCATTTAATATGGTTATAATTTTTAGTTTTTAATTTTAATTTTTATAAATTTTGTAACTATTGAAGGTTAACTTATACTTTAAAGACCACTATTAGAATTCATTTATTTACCGACGAGAAATCATATTGGAAAGAAAGGTAATCACGTTGGTAAAACAAGCTTCCACCTAGAATCATGTCAGAGCTTTCTTTGTCGATGAAAGTAGGCTTGGTAATTCATTTACCGACGTGAATTAAAGTTACGTTGGTAAAATGACTAAATTACCAACGAGAAACATGTCTCAAACATTGGGTTGGAATAGTGCTACTGGAGATCTTTTCTGGTAATCCATGTCGGTAATTTACCAACAAAGATCACGTCTCCAACTACAACCAATGCCTCTAAAGGTGAGCTACACTAGTAATTCACCGAGGAGAATGCTGTTTGAAATTCATAAATTACCGACACAATTTTAGTTAGCAATGTAGGGTACCAATTTTTGGTTTTGCTACTTATCGACAAAGATAATGTTGGTGTAGGAGGCTTCCAAAAGGAAATTCATAGTTTAAGCTTCAAGTTACAGACGAAGGTAACATTAGCGAAGGAATCTATTAAAATATATATAAAAAAAATACAAAACAAAACAATTTCTTGAATTAATATTGAAATTAATATATATTTTTTATTTAATTCAATTAATTTATAGTTAAATATTAACTAATTCATAATATTTAATATCATGAAAAATAAATATAATATTAAAATTTTATAGTACAAACCAAAAATTATTGTGTTTATTTATTCAAATTAATGATTAAAACATAATTTTAAAAAATAAGAACAATATGGAAAACTTAAAATATAACTACATAATCCAAAAAATTAAAGATTACCTTAATAGAGTGAATATTTACAAAACACCATTTCCTAAAGAAATAAAGAAGCATAAATTAGGTTAGTATTTACCAATGACCTAAGTAGTTCAGTGGTCATCTCTTTCCGTTGGAAGTAAGAGGTTCTGATTTCTAGTCGCATAGCATGCAAGTGGGGTGGGATAAGGTAAGGGATGTGAGATGGTTGCCCATTGTGCAACTAAAATAAAAAAAAAAAAAGATAAAAAAAGAAAAAAAGGTTAGTATTTATTTATAATTTCAACCAAATAATAATAATCAAAATAAAAATGAAATTGAATGTTAATTTACATAAATAAAATTTACTTACCCAATGATTATCTCCTAACAATGTTTCCTAGAAAACAAAATTTAAAAAAATTAGAATTGCAAATAAATTGATTAATAACACAAATTAGTGTTTAATCAAATATATAGGGAGAAACAATGAAAGAGAAAAAGAGAGGAGATTGAGAAGATATAAACCTAAAATTATATGAATATAATGTAATTATAAACATAATACAATTAATCTAGCAGCATTTGAATGGAAGAGAAAGAGGAGGAACAGATGAGGGAGAAGAAGAAGAAGGAAAGAAAGAAGAAATGAGTGGGGCAAAGTGTTATGGTGTTATATAGACTAATTTACCTCTGTGTGCTTTGTCAGAATTAATTTTACCGACAAATCCCACATAGGTACTTAACCTTAAGGCAGGAATCGAAAAAAGCAAAAATTTTGTAATCCCACCCAAATTACTGACCAACTTCATGGTGGTACCTGAAGAGGAAAAATCTACTTATTTTACCAACTAAAATCATTTTGGGAAATGGTAATTGCCAACAAGATGCATGTTGGCAAGTGAAAAGCCTTTGCAGCATTACCGACATGTAGCTTATTGGTAAATATAAGTCCTACTTGGTACACATCAGTAGTAAAAATTCCCAAACTCCACAACTTTCTTTCCATATTACGTCCCTTTTTATGTCATTTTCCGAATTTATCTAACAGATTTCCTACATTTTAATCATTTTAGTGGACATAAATTTTTAAAAAATTTGACAGAGTTTCTCCGTATGTATGATAAAAGCTAATTTTTTTTTTTTAAACCTACAATTGCAATTCTACAATTTTGTTATAAAAGAATGCAATAATTTCATTCAATAGATTTTTGCATTTTGGTCATTTTAGTTGGCATAAATTCTAAAAAAATTTTGGCAGAGTTTCCCCATACATATGATCAAAACGAATTTTTTTGAACCTGCATTTGCAATAAAAAAACACATATATTCTACAACTCTACCATGCTAAAAACAATTATACCTTTTCAATCACAACCAGAACCACAAAGTATGGCAATCACACACCACTGTCTTAAATGCCTACGATGTTCAGTTCACAATAATTAACCTCTAAAACAATCCAATACATCATACCTTTTGAAGTATGATTGCTGTAGGTCAAGCAAAATAGGAAAAGATATCGTAATGAAAAGCTAAAGCTAGCAATTTAAAGTATTAACAAAAATAAAGCCAAATATGTGAAGTGTGCAGATAATGTACGTAGCAGGAAAAAAAAAACAACCTAAGGACCTTGATAGTCTAGATCAAAAACAAGATGGTATACATCATCTTAAGGCAAAAGCTGCTGCTGTTGCTAATGCTGCTAATGTTGATATTTAAGGACCATAAGAGAGGTCTATGCAAAATCAGTGGAGTAGGTGAAAGCTGCATGCATGCGAAGACTTGAGCCATGACAATGTGGTAGTTATGGTAGGGCAACTGGATGATGACTTGCCTAGGGGGAGATGGCATAAGCAACTAGAGTTGCTACAACAGACTGTGCAATTGTCTAGCTTATATTATTCTGGGCTTGTGTCATCTAGGCCAACTATTGTTGCATCAAAGCCATTTGTTGGTGTTGCCTTTCTAACTCTTCATGTTGGTTTGCCACAACCTCATTCTGGCATGCCTGCTCCTCAACATGATCAGACATCATCATCATTGCTATCAAGTTATCTGGAGGTTGTCTATTCCTGTAAGTAAATCCAACATTCTCTAGATTTACTTGGGAGCCAATCCCTGACATGAAATTGGATGAGCAACCTCCAACAACCTTAGCCCATGCCTCGTTATCCATGCATGGCCACAAACTAGCATCAGAGCCGTGGCTTTCCATGCACTCCGCAACATAAGTATCCTGAAAATAAAATAATAATAATGATAATAATAATCATAATAATGTTAAAAACAATTTGAAAAGAATCTATAAAAAAATTAGACTTTGCAAAATAATTTAGATTAATTAAATTTTTTTTTTGACACTTATAACTATACATTTTATGCTAATTTATATATTACATATACTTACATATCAATGCTTTGCTTTTTCATTTATCCATGCCGGCTCTTGATCCTTTCCCGCCTTCTTTCTGAAGGTGTGTGTCTCCTTGAACTTCTCCAAATGGGGAGATTGCACACCACCTCTAGATTCAATTTGTATTTCAAAATATTGATAACACAATATATTGGTTAATATAAATTAACACAATTTACTGTTAAATAAAATTTAATATATTTAACTTTTTATTAATTAAGCTTGATTACCATCTGTACCTCGTGGGTGCCAAAGCTAATGGACCTAGTGGTGTGAGTCACCCTCTCCCCAAAACTCCTATTTTTTGCTCCCCTTACACTAAGCATCTTATATTTATCAGTCCCAATATGTCAACAACTAATACCATATACGAGTTGGGATCCAACATGGGACATAGGTTGAGTCCTTTTCCCACCTCAACCTCTCATCCCTAAGATTGTCACTCCATCTATGTTCAATACAATTTAGGAATGTATCTTTTACATGGCAATTATCTGCAAGATCCCACTGTAAATTGTCTACAAAATAAGAAATGAATAACATTAGATGTGTGAGAAATATAAATTCTAGTTTAGTAATGAAATTATTTATTTTTACTAGAAATTACTAAATCCATTCATGTTATTAAAGTTGCTAAAACTTAATCTTACGTTGAAACAACTGTAAATTTTGGTAACCTTGCTATGGGGGAGACGCTCATATGTGAAATATGAGACATCAAAACATGACTTCCACAAGCCAGTGATAGCCCGAGGAACGGATGGATCAACAAACTAGAGCTTATCATCAGTAAGCATAACCCATTTCCTGCTCTCTTTATTCTTTGGAAGGTATAGACCTTTCAAATTCTCGCCTCGTCCTTTTTTCCCCTTTGAGGATAAAGGGCCTTCACTATCATGAGCAGGTGTAAAATGATCCATACTCTCCATTAATGGACCAATCATTTGCTGTATATTAGGAGCTACGCCACTACCAGCAAACACTTAGGGTTAATCAAGACTATGCCACCCCTGGAATCTTGAGGAAAAAGATCTCCTCCTATCCAAACTTGCAGGATTTCCAAACATCTTGAAAAAGAAATAACAAAATAGTTATTAATACATGCATACAAAGAACGAGTAATAAATTTAGAACAATCATACAATGTATCTATTTTAAATAAAAAAATATATAACTTGATAAAATAATATATATATATAAGACAAAGAAATTTTAATAGATATATTTAATGAGTAATAATATATATTTTAGTGATGACAAATGTTTCGATTAATCATCACTATCATCATCATCCTTAACATTATCACTATTTCTCGAGGATTTTGAATCTTTCTCTTCTCCATAGTCCTCCTCTTCTTCAGACGTATTAGCATCAACCTTAACTTCTGTAACACCTTTTGCATGAAGTTGAAGTAATTGGTATGTAATTAAATCTATAGTTAATGAAGAGCCTTGCATTATGGGGGGGTCATCATCTTGAAAAATGTCATCAATCTCTCTTGAAGATGAGGTAGATGAGGTGTCAATTAGACGTCTAGATTTTATTTACATGCTACCAACCATCCCCGAGTAGTTCTATCTGTGGCTGTCAAAAATGGAGTATAATAAACTTGTTGTGCTTGACTAACAAGGGAAAATGGCTCTCTTGTTGAAAGTTTAAACCTTGGATTGACATCAATAATTCCGTGTTCAACATTCACACATATTCCTCGGTTTGTGTCATACCAATCACAATTAAACAAAACTACAAGCCTGAGTGTTCATAATATAATAACTTAATTACCTCTTTTAAGACACCATAATAATCAGTTTCATCTATAGAATTAAGGGTAATTCCTTTAACACAAATACTACGGTTATATGTCTTTCTATTATCAGTAAACTCTTTAGTCAAAAAACCAAAGCCATTCACATAGAACCCATTATAAACATTCACTTCAAAGATCGAGCCAACTCTAAAGTGGATAAGTTGTTCACTGATTTCATATTGTCTACTAAACACTCATATATGAAAAACTTTTTAATTTAGTAATATTTAATATTTAATTAAAAATTTTAAAAATAATATTTAGTAATTTGTTACCATGTTTTTAAACCATCAAACAAAACTATTTGTTCACACTCTTTGTAGTTGTTCAAAGGTCAAATTTCCACCAACTTCTTCCTCAAATTTACT